CAAATTTTATCAAGATCGGCGCGGATTTGGATATAGCTCCCACATATATCTTCAACCGATTTAGGGTTAAGTGTGCACCAAATGGCCAATATCAGCCCAGATTGACTGAATTTTGACAATTCCGACTAAATGTGTCTTAGAAACAAGTACTTCAGATTTGATGAAGATCGGTTCATCGGTTTAGCTATAGCGCCTATATATATGTTTTATCCGATTTGGGATTTTAAGTCCTTCACAATCGAAATAAGCATCCCATCGGAATTATATTTGGTTCCAGATATCAGATACAGTCCAGAATTACATTTGCTAAATTTACATTTTTACATTTTTTTTAAATTTTATTGAATGAAAGCATTAAATGTCGGAAATAGCATCAAATTTTAAAACATGTTTAGATTTGTTCGAATAGGTCACCTTTGGCACCAATTACGGCTTTCAAACGGTCAATGAAACCGTCACACGTTGCCCGAATGTTGCTCTGCAGTATTTAAGCCCATTCCCGGCGAAGCGCTTGCTTGAGGTGATCGACACTTTGGTATTTTTTAGTGCCAACCTTGGTTTCCAAAATACTCCAGACACAATAGTCCAACGGATTGGTATCCGGAGATTTTGGTAGCCATTGTGCGCTGGGAATGAAGAGAGGAACTTCATTTTGTAAATATTCTTGAATGGCGCGTGCTGAGTGCGATGGTGCTGCTGAGTCCTCTTGAAATGTCCAAATTCTGCGGCCAAAATGTTTGCGTGCCCAAGGCTTTAATACAACCTCCAGAATATTTTCGCGATAATATTCAGCAATTATTCTGATGCCATGGTCGATTAATACGAGCGGAGAGCGACCATCGGCTGTTATGGCAGCCCACACCATCACCATGGCTGGCCGCTTGAGTTCTGGTGGCCAACCGAAGCTGCACATTTTCAGTTGACCTCTTTGGCAAGTAAACACGATCCTTTTGTTTGTTTACAAACTGCTGGACAACGAATGTTTCCTCATCGGAGAAAACCAAATTCGGCAGTTCACCACTTTCGGCCAAGCGAAGCGACTCTTCAGCTCTTTTGAGTCTATTTTCTTTTCGTTGCGATGTAAGTTCTTGCACTTTTTGGAATTTCAATGGCTTTACAACGAGCTCATTTTTTAATATTTGCCGAATGGAATATTGCGATATGTTAAGCTCACGAGCCATTTTTGGGCCCCTGCAACGCGGCTCTCGATCGAAGTCGCTTCTTTACTTTTCAAACTATTTCTGCTGATGTTGCAGTTTTCTTCCGTCCACTTCCTTGACTTCGGACTACGCTACCAGTATCACGGTAACAAGCGATGGTACGAGACACAAAACATTTATTCACATTTAAATGCTGGAGTGTTCTAACGATAGCCACTTGTGGTTTTCCAGCCGAATATAAAGAAATCACACTATCACGCTTGAATTCCATCACGAATAACTTTTTTCGGGAAAATTCTCACCAAAATGCTTTTGTACGCTTGTAAACAATATAATAAGCTGTCACTAGAATAATATTAACAGTTGTCGGACGAGTGGCTTAGAAATCACAGCAGTCTGAAGTTGGTTTCAGTTTTTTCATCTCACCCTTATGCTTCATCCGAGTTTTTGTATTTAAGTTCCCCACACCCGTAAAGTGCTTACCCCAACAACGATATTTGACGCCAGCTATCAGATACCGCCAAGAAATACCTCTGCTAAATTTTACAGAGATCGGTTCATATTTGGATATAGCGCGCATATATATCTACATCCGATTGCACTTTTATTGGGCCTAAAAAGTGTAATATCAGCTCAAATCGGATGGATTATGATGAATATCGCTTCAGACACAAATGCCTCCGCAAATTTTAGTAGAAAGCGATTCAGGTGAGATTGCTACTCACACATATTAGTTCCTTTCTACTATGAATTATAACTGATTTATATCCATAATACGCATTCAAAAACAATCATGGTCGGTATGATTTATTTTTCATAAATTCTCCATAAAAGCGTTTATTTCTTATGGATACTTTTACTAAATATGCAAAGTCGTGAAGGGTCGGCCCCACCCGACTTAAAGCCTTTCCTTACTGGTTTTAACTGTATTTGGTTTACAAACCTTATAAAAGTAAATAATTGCTTTTGTTCCAATAATTCTGACCCCATTCCCCCATAATTGTTAGCATCCCTCGAAAATCATAATAAAACTAAATTAATTTTCCTGCCAATGTTAAATAAAGCCAAAAATGTGTAATTATATTGCCGCTCGTCGCCATTGACAGACCTTCATAGAATAAATAATTATTATTTCAATTCCAAATGCGTATCATATTTTCATAATTATTATTGGAATATTTTGTGTCGTTCGTTCAACCGAAATGAACACAAAATCATTTACTTTTAATCTCCATGAAATATATTCGGGTGGAATATTTGTATATTTTCCCCCCGCAGGACATTCATTTGTTCTCAAAATAACAAATTCATGTTTGCTATTGACGGAATATTCCATGTGAATCACAAATGAACAGAAGGAAAATATTGAAAACGAAATCTGTAGAAATTCAATAGGATTTTCACTGAAGACAATTTTTTCAAATAATCTTTACTGAAACCCTGTACTGTATTCTGCAAAAAAATTGTAGACTAATTTGTCTCACATGCATTATAAATTAGAGAAAGATAATTTACTTTTTGTATTTCAGTAAGTAGAAAGATAATGGGTTGCTCTTCTAAACGCGTAATCTTACTTTCCCTGTTATTATGGTAGTTATAAACAAAGGGTGTAATAAAGCAATGTCAAAGCTTTAAGACTTGGGCCCTGGAAAACCATCTAGTACACTGGTGGAATAGCCACATAGTATATCTGAGAAGAAACTGCCTCAAACGAAACGAAATCGCAGAGGCCCTGCAAATCTCGAAAATGGTCAGTACAGAGAGGCAAAAAGGTCCTCCTCACCACACACGAAGGCAAAAAGAATCCAGTAAGGAAAGGACAAAATCGGACGGGCCGACTATTTGATACCTTGTAGTTTCTCTTTTATAATGAAACTTGAACCCAGTTTCACCAACTTCAATAGGGATCGTGCTTGGGCCAGGCAAGATAATTCGTGGAAAAATTCATCTCCATCGGATAATAAATGCGTCCTGTACATTGTTTTCAAAAATACGTGGTCAAACGGATTTACGGGCGGACAGACCAACGGACATGTATACATCGACTCAGAATGTGATTCTATGCAGATCATCAAAAGGAAATATGGGCGCAGCTCGCTTCTCTATGTTACAAACAAATGAAGAAAGACATAATTTAAAAATGCGAGAAATTAAGATGATGTAAACCGAGATCCATTTGGACTTGGATATAATCTGGTAATGAAGAAACTGGGAGGCAAGCCACAGGTAATGAAATAGATGGCAAAATAACACTCAGTTTCAGAAACACCAAGTAGTAAGAGAATTTCACTTTTTAAATTTTGCGAGAATTTATTAAAAATAAATAGTAAAAAAGCAGTAAGTTCGGCCGGGCCGAACATTGAATACCCTCCACCAAATGGTAAAAATTTGGCAATTTTCAAATAAAATCCGTTAAAAATTCTGTTAAAATCTTAAAAATACCGAATGTAGCCGTATATTAGGGTCTATACGACGACGTGGACCTGCATTGTTTATAATGCAGCTAAAATCATCAAAATACCGAATTTAGGGAGGTACCATGGGGGTTATAAAACGTGGACCTGCACAGACAATTTTCTGGCATAGACTGTAGTATCTGTTGCGAACTTCAAATACAAAATTTGAAATAATTTCGCTAAATAATGCCGCTCAAATCATCAAAATACCGAATATCGGGGGTACCGTAATATCGGGGCTATACGAAGAAGTGGACCTGCACAGACAATTTCCTGTCATAGGCTATAGTATTCATTGCGAACTTCAAATACCAAATTTGAAACTATTCCGGTAAATAATGTTGCTAAAATTATCAAAATACAGAATATCGGAAGGTACCCTTATATGAGGGTTATACGAAAACGTAGACCTGCATGGCCCATTTTCTGTCATAGGCTGTAGTATTTATTGCGAACATCAAATACCAAATTTGAAATAATTCCGTTAAATAATGTCGCTAAAATCATCAAAATACCGCATATCGGGAGGTACCTTTATGTGGGGGCTATACGTAGCCGTGGACCTATATGGCCCATTTTCAATACCAAAAGTCCTGCAGACATAATACACATTTAAGTAAATTTGTATGAACTTATTTTATTTCCTTCGGAAGCTAGAGTGATGTCCACAGACCGACAGACGGACGGATATTGCTGAATCGACATAGAGTTTTATGCTGATCAAGAATATTTGTACTTTATGGGGTCTAAAATGTATACTATGGTGGATGGTATAAAAAGGTGGGACTCCTTTAAGACCTCGAAAAAAATTGCGGAGCTTGGAGGCAAGCTAGAAGAAGACCTTAGAAGCCCGGAAACCACCATGTGGTTATATGAAAGTGGTGACAGCAACTCCCAGAGTTTGACAGGTGGGGTTTTTAGTTGGTAACAAGATCGATGCCGATGGTGGCTAACTTGAAAGCCTTAAAAAACAAACAAGAAAAATATATGTGTTATTATTTTTGTATTTTTTTAATTATTTAAGACAAGAACTGCATTTCATAGTTGTTAGCTTTCTCTCAAGGCACACTCAGATTTAAATCGTAGCTTATTCTATAATAAGATTAGTAGACATTTTATTATTTAATTGAAATATGCAATCTGTGGCATTGCACCACACCCTCTTATCCGTGTTAATTAATAACTTTCATTATCTAAAAACATGAAAAATTGTTAGATTTCTAATCCAATGCCTCCGTATTTTTAAAATCGACATTACTTTAATTGATTTGTTTCGAAATAGCTTTTATTAAACAATTATTTCTATTGGATACATACTAAGATTTATTTAGCATTTTTTAAATTCATTGAAGGCAATATTTTATTATTTTTTATTTATTTGCAGGTACATAATTTGGGATGACGAATTTGATATAGAATACCAACAGATGTGAAAAGAAGAATATACAAATGTTTGCCTAAATTTTAAGAAAGGTAAATCAAATATGAGGAAGAACAAAAAAAATAATATGTAATAGATGAGTAAAAAAACATTATATTCGACCGGGTCGAACTTGTAATACTAGGCTTCTTTTGGGTAAAGGAAACATTTTTATAAAAAAGTATCTGGATTCATGCGTGTTGCACTTTAAACGTCATATACCAGTAAGACCTTTTGCATAATGCAGTTAAACTTTAAAAAAAGCAATAAAGTGGGTGAGGCTGTTGTATGGGAGCCATAACAAAACGGGATCCTCTATAGACAATTTATACTTCAAGGATTGTCATCTACCAAATCTTCTAAAAAATCAAATTTGAAACAATTTCGTGGGTAAATCTGAGTAGGATTATCAAAATACAGAGTATTTGGTGGGTATCCTAGACCTAAATTTTCAATGTTCTGCCACGGAAACTAGAACCCATTTTGACCCACAAATAAAAGACAAATCCGTGAAAAAATGTGGCAAAAATAATCAAAATACTGAAATCGGGCGAGTACCGTTATATGGGGGCTTTACAAAAACGTGGACCTATGCATAGAATGTTGCGCTACCGGAGCTAGAGCCCATTATGACCTACAAATACAATTTTTTAGACAAATTCGTGGGAATATGTGTCAAAAATCATCAAAATAACGATTAACAGGATTTATATGGGGGCTAAACCAAAACGTGGACCTATGCATACAATGTTTCCTCACACGAGCTACAATCCATTATCACCTACAAATACCAATTTTTGGACAAATCCGTGAAGAAAATGTGTCGAAAATCATCAAAATACGGATTATCGGGAGGTACCGTTACCGTTACCGGGACTATACCAAAACATGGACCGATATATCTCATTTTCAATACCAACCATCCTAGACACAATACAAATTGTCCTGCCAAACTTTTAAGCTCTATGTCAAATAATGTGGGCTGTATCGTAATTTCAACTAACAGACAGACTGACCGACAGACGGACATAGAATTTTATGCTGATTATGAACATATTCACTTTATGGGGTCTACGACGAATATTTAGGGATGTTATAAACCTAATGACAAATATAATATACCTTCTTTTAAGTGGGGAAAATAAAGTCCGAAAAATCAATTAACAAACCTATTTTTATATCCTCCACCATAGTATGTAAGGTATGTAGTATGTTTCGAGGTGTTACAGACGGAATGACAAACTTTATATTCCGTTTGTGACACCTCGAAACATACATTTTAGACCTCACATGGTATGTATATATATATATATTCTGGATCAGCATAAATTTCTATGTCGATTTAGCGATGTCCGTCATTGTGTCCGTCCGTCTGTGAAAATCACTCAAGCTTCCGAACGAATTGAAGTAGATTGATAAAATTTTACTCAAATGTATATTATGTCTGCAGGACTTTTGGTATTGAAAATGGGCCATGTAGGTCCACGTTTTGGTATAGCCTCCATATAATGGTTCCTCCCGATATTCGGTATTTTGATGATTTTAGCGACATTATTCACCGAAATTGTTTTGCATTTCGTATTTGTAGTTCGTTATGGTACTACAGCCTGTGACAGAAAATTGTCTTTGGAGGTCCACGTCTTCGTATGGCCCCTTATAACAGAACCTTCCGATATTCGGTATTTTGATGATTTTAGCTACATTATTCACCGATTTTTCAAGTTTCGCATTTGAATATTGTAATGGCTTTTGAATAGACCCTAATATTAAGGCTACATTCGGTATTTTTAAGATTTTAACAGAATTTTTAACAGAATTTATGTTTTTGAAAATTTGTCAAAATTTGATCCAAATGGTGGAGGGTATTAAAGTTTTTTTATTTGTTGGTTATTCAAAACTTTGATGCTTCGTGGGGGTGGTATCAAAGGAGTGAACCGATATATTCCATACCCACTCCAGACCTTGTGATGTGTGTAATTTGAAGATATTCGCACTCTTACATCATAATTATTCAAAATTTTGGCCCTTTGTTGGGGAGGTACTTGATCGAGTGGACCGATATTGTCCATTTTCATACCTGACCTATCACAGGTGCAAATATTAGGATTTAGATTTGGACTTCGGATTTGGATTATCCTTTCTCTTTCTGTGAAGTAAAATATTTTCTTTGAAAATGTCGACCTTTTGTGGGGGAGGTACCAGAAGGATTGGACCGATATTGCCGATCTCCGAACTTGTTCTATGTTTGATAATAATGTGACAAGGCCCCAAGTTTGGACCAAATCGGTTACTCCCTTCGAGAGTTATCGTGAGCACCAGTCAGCCAGACAGACGGACGGACGGACATCGCTAAATCGACTGTAAATGTCCTGGAACGGATTTGGTCCAAAGCGACCTAGAGTCTAAAGCCGTTATTTCGACTAGGCACGTTTTGACGGTATCAAATGATATATACCCTCCCTAGCCATGTGGCTATGGCTGAGGGTGTAAAAATTATGTCAAATTGAACAAATTGTGTAGTTTGAGTACTTAAAAGACCTAACACGAATTGTTGGGACGAATTTAAAATTTTAAGGTGTACTTTTTGCTGACGACAGTAGCGGGTACTTGGTAGTACATATATAACGATCTATCAGCGGAGCAAGAACCCATTACGAACTGTAAAATATTTTACTTCGATAATCGATTAACTCTTTATGACATCGAATTTCAATACCAGTAGATTCTTACAGGTTCTGGAACAGAGCAAATACAAACAATAATGACAAATTTGAAAACCCCCCAAACATAATTTGGACTGGATCGTGATATCAACAGACAAACGGACAGACATCGTTAAATTGATGTAGAATTTTATGCTGATCATGAAATTAAAAACTTTGGGGGTTCTACGAGGAATATTACGACAAATTTAATATATCCTCCGTTCCATTATGGGGGTTAAAATAATTTGCCACATTAGCACTAAATTTGAATTACTCAACCTCATGTCTTCAAAGAAAAAAAAAAAAAAAACTTCCGGTTTCACCAGGTTTTGGTATCTAAACTTGAAAACCAGACTCCAATTTGTGTGTAAATATAAATTTTAATATAAATTATTATGACAACTGCTTCTGTCGCCCGGTTGCGATCAGCTTCTTATTATTTTTTTTTTTAAATATAAGTAGACATTTTATGATCTATGGTCATCACGGCAGCAATCATGAATGCCCACTGTCGTCGGTTCATTTGGCTTGCAATCCCATTTAAATGACATAAAATTGATTGGCGGCACTTCAGTGCAGGCTTATTTGTATGTGTTCGGATATGTGTATTTATTTATGTATTTATATGTATATTTCAGAGATCAGGGAACCATGGCAAAAAGTTTATTATTTTTTTTTGCTCTGCTTTGCGAAATTTACATTTCACAGATTTGCATTAAAAATGGCAACGAATGTCGGTAATTCATTTGCAATCAATATTTTTTTTAATTATTTTTTTATTGTAATTTATGACACCATTACAAATTGGGAGCAAGCAAAAACAGAAGTGTTATTAGTTCAGTTAATTATTTGTTTTATAATAAAATAAAATTCTGCAGTTTTTTTAATTTCTTTCATAGTTCATTTGTGGATGGCAAATTTCGAATTATTCATTTCATAACCACAAATTGGCGATTTTAACATTAATGAAATTGAAATGATTTTAATAATTTTTAAGAGCCTTGGAAGGTTATGGCTTGGGAACAGTTTTTTTTTCTTATTCCAGGCTGAAAAAAGCTTTTTAGAAGATACGTGGTTCAATATAGGCCCCGTAAAATTTTTTTGAAACTTTAAATAAAAATTAAATTTTGATAATGGAAAACCCATATTTCATATACATATGCCCAAAGTGGGGTGCTATGGGCATTTGAGGCCAATATTTTCTTTCTTTAAATTCTTATATATTTTTAACAAAAGCTATTTATAAAATCCTAAAAAAATATTAATTTTGCTCATAATATATCAAGTTCAAATATTATACCTCCCACCTTCCTCTCTTTCTTTTTGACTCACTACTCCAAAATTGTAAACTTTTCAGGTTTCCACCGACAAAAATAAATGCACTGTAATGGAAATAATTAAATAATGTTCATGTCACTGCGTAATATTTAAGATGCTGGCATGCTGAGCATCAGCATATTTCAATTTCAGACACATTCCAAAAATTCCACCTTCCTCCTCTCCCCTTCCCTTCCACAACAAACCGAATTCAAAGAAAGTTATTTTTCGAATTTTTATTGGAAATTTCCACAGTCTGTCAACGCGAGGCAGGCAAAAGTGAAATGTAATCTAAGCTCTGATGGCATAGAAGAAGAAATATCATCAATAATTCACGCTCAAATGCATTTCAAAATTTTGTTGTCATAAACAGGTTGGAGGTTGAGTTTGAGTTCTCAGTCTCTTTGTATTGTTTTGCTTCAATGAATTTTCGAATGTTTTTTTTTTCTTTTTTTCAGACTCAAAATGCGATTTTATTTATAATTTATTTTTTTGTGCCTTAAGATATTTCGAAATCTTGTTAGGCAGAATTAAAATTTATTTGAAATGAAAGCTTCTGACAAATTCTTTAAATAAATATTCTGAGAAAAAAAATCAAAGTAAGGAATTATCTTGTGACAGCAAGAAAACGTATTAGAGATTAAATATAGCTCACTTTACTGTCATGAAAAAAATTTAAGACCAGCAACTGGTCTCTTTCCATAGAATACCCCCAATTGGCATATTTCTATAAAAGACCTTCATTTAGCATTCTTCAATCGAAAACCATCACATCACTCTTCTTGTATAAAAGGCCATCAACGAGTTTTCTTTTATTGAAGGCCCTCAACTGGAGGGTCTTCTATTGAGGACCCTCAACCGGAGGGTCTTATATTGAGGACTCTCAACTGGTTTTCTTCCATAGAAGGGCAGCAACTGGTCTTCTTCCATAGAAGAGCAGTAACTGGTCTTCTGCCATAGAAGAGCAGTAACTGGTAACTTCTGCCATAGAAGAGCAGTAACTGGTAACTTCTGCCATAGAAGAAGAGCAGTAACTGGTAACTTCTG